CTTCATTATATGGGATGTATAGGTGTTTTTGTGTCAAAAAATATAGGTTAACATAAAATTGAATTTGTGCTGGGAAAAAGTGAGTATTTATAGACTGCTAGTTTGTACTTTAAAATTGTCTCATATTTCCTTGTAAAACTCTGGGTGAAGTTGATGTTGAATTGAAAGATTTTATTCCAATTGCCCCTTAAATTTGTGTCTGGATTGTGGACACCAATAAGTTCTTGCATACTGTACACTCTGAAGCTGGAAATTAAGTCTGGCAAAATAATTTTTTTCTTCAATAGAGTAGGTAAAATCACTAAGCAAAACAATTTTCGTATGAACCTTATACAAGAAGTGATGTTGTAATTTATAGTTACTCATGTAACATTGTATTTCAGACCTCTTTGCTAATCCACTGGCTCAGGATTATGACTACAGAAGCTATGTTATACATCATCTACCCTCCATTGAACTGCTTGATAGGAAAGGTAAACAACATGTCATGACATTTGGTGGAAAAATAATAAGTGTTCAACCTTTCACTCAACATCAAGTATCAATTAGCTGCAATGTCTTCCACACATTTTCTTACAATTTAAACTCTGGGAATTATTTGGGTGTTAAATCAGACAATATACACTTTTTGATGCTCTTCTTCTCATTATCTCTCTGTTTGAACATTTATTGATATTTCAAGGAGAAATTATATTTTGGTCACTATAGATCAGGGTTACAGAGGTAAGGTTTAAAATTGGTAATGAGCACATTCTCTATGCAGCAAAGGCAACTGAGGTCCATTTCTAATGATGTACTTTTGCTGTTCAGCCAGATTAGACTATGACATAGGGAACATACAGTAGCTATTCAAATTCTGTAATTCAGTGTTTAAAAAAACCCTGACTTGCATGTAGTAACATTCAGTAAGAACCTAAATGAGATAATGAATTGTAGACCCACTGGCAGAAGATCGGTTGAAACAAAGGGTGTACAGATGTTTGCTTTGTAACTACATAGTGAGACATATCACACTATTCTGAGGCATTCCTAACTACTGTTCTTGTTTCAAAAATGCCAGTGAGAACAATTGTCTCCACTTTTTCAACCTAAAAACATTCTAACCATAGCATATCAGGGAAAATGCCACCATCAAATTTCTAACCTTACATCACAATTTAATTTTGTACCAGACCTCTACCTTCTAATGTCCAATTCTTTAGAAAAGGATTCTGATACCTTGTAGAGTTCTAACAAATTTTACTTTGACAGTTTGATAAGGTTCCCCAAGGTTGTGGGGACAAAATATTAAAGAAATCAATTCAATTTCTAGAAATCACCAAAGCGGAAAGGGACAAAGCCAGGAAAAAATACGATTCACATCGAGAGATGGTGAAACAAACCGTAGCTTTTGGTCGCCGAGCGGACGGTCCACCGAAACAAGTCTATCACCCCCCACCTTCAGGGATGCTAGAAAGCTTTGGTTTTGACGAAGGTAACTTTACTTTACAGACCAGAGGTTTTTTCCCCGTATAAGATCACCTCTGTCCCTTACTCTGTCCAAGTTTTCGTTCAAAAGGATGTTTTGCTGTAAGGATAGCTGTAGAGTGGTAAACAACACGTCTGTGTCGAGAACGCTCGGCAGTTGTATCTGTAAGTTTTCTAAAAGCTGGTGAGTGATGACCCACTAACCTCGTCAGACAAACACTTGAGAGCTACTCCAAGGCAGTTTGAGTATCAGAACATATTAGCTGGAATTGCGAATGAAGTGACATGTTCTTTAGGTTTGCAAGAAGAGTAAATGGTGTTTAATAAAACCTGAAAGTCGCTATTATTTCTGATTCTTTACTTTCTTTCCAGATCATTTGACAAAACTCCCCACGAACAAAAAAATGACCGTATTTATGAAATGTTCGCAATTACGATTACACAATAAACCGTTAGCCGTAAAATGGCCACAATTTTTAACCGATAACCGTAAAAGCCATGACCCCATCGAAACCCTCAGTCTTCCACGAAGTTCCCAGTTGTGCATTTTGACTAAGAGATTGTTTGCTTCTTGGTACAGATGACTGTGAAGAGCAGAATGGTGACAAATCTGATAGTGTCTCAAGGTTGGTGCTAATTACATAATGATCCTTTAAGTGACATGCTTGTTGTGATGTTTGTGTAATTGAATCTTTCAGTGACCACCAGGCCATTCTTGCTGAATCGATAAAAAGGCGAGGTCTTCAGCGGTCCGTTATGCAGTACTCCACATTTGATTGGTCTTCCATTCCTTTGTCACAAGAAAGGAGACTTGTTCCAGAGAGTGTACCTGATCAGCCTCGAATTTTAACTGTGCGATTTCGATAACCTCGGCCAACTAGCACCCTTTCCCCCCCGACAAGTACATTAACATTCATTATTTTACAGTGTACCGGTGAAGAAGTTCGGACCCCTATGGAGGGGTCTGCAGCTCTCCCAAACCCACCCCTGCAATATAATACAAGATTCGAATTTTTTTTTTTTTACCTGAAAAATTCTCCCAGACTCCCATAGGTACATTCACCATCAGCGCCTACTTTTCATGCCCGACGACGGAATTTTTGTTTCACCGTCCCTATTTCTCTTGTAAATATAAAATTTGTTAATAAAATTTATAGAGAAAGATGCTTCGGTTGATATTTATTCATAATTATCAAGCCAAACATAGCGTCGCTCTAACGAATGGTTAACACTGGAAAAAATTGTCAAATAAATCTCACGCTAAGCTTGGGTGTGTTCCTGTGGTCGGTCAATTCCACCCCAAGCTTCTTTTTCCAGGCGCAGACTGGTGAATTTTGATGATACATTTTGACGACTGATATGATACAGTAACGGAAACCAACTAGAGGATGGCTAATAATCGAGAGAAGTGTGGTGTAAATGAGACTAGAGGGAATGAATTGTTAGCTAATGATAGGATTGTGTAAGAGATTTTCAATAAGCGACGGGCTTTCATTTTGGTGATCTCGAGAAACGGTAGTTTTATCAAAAAAAAGTTCTTGGAAGCTTTCTTAACTTTTTTTTTTTTTGATCGCCCAAAAGAAATATAGTTTTCAGGTCCCTGAAAGACCTAAATGTCAATGTTGAGTATTAAAACAAATAAATGTATAAACTTTGTTTTGACAAATTCAGGTTTAGTGAATTTTTCCAAATTATACAACCACTAACAACCGAACACGTTTGTTCATTTGGATATTAACCCTTTCAGAGAGATAGAGCCCTGAAATCGAACAACGAATTTGCCTCAACAAACTGTTTTTATACTGCATATTCGTGCGAGTACATTTGTTTAACTATCTGGTAAACTGCCCGGTACCTGCTGAGACATGTCAATACACGGGTTTTCGAACCACACCTTTGATAGCCATCACTGTTATCCAAAATTTTACTCTTCAGCGAAAAATGTTGCAGTTTCTTGCAGCTCTGAATTAAAAAAGATTCTGAGGTATGAGAATACATTTTGTCAGCAAAATCGCAACTTTTAACGAAAGGTATTAATTATGTATTTGATGATAAGTAGATCGATGTCATGTGCTGATGACGTTAACATAATTTATTCAAACTTCCGAGTAAAATATCCCCAATTTTGTTCCTAACGGAACACAACGTGGATTAGATCTGGGAAAAGTAAACAGCGACGAGCGAACACGAGCCTTTTGCATAACAGTCGAAAGTATTTCATCATACTGCTGCATAGAAACAATTTGCTACAAGGAATTGAATAATACGCATCGTTTAATTGGATCAAACCTTGAGGGGGAATTCGATTTGGAAAGAGTTATTTCGATAATGGATAAGCCCCTCTCTCAAATATACACCGACTTTACTTTTCAAGACGAAATGCGTACGATACATGATTACGGGTACCGTGTGTTGTGCACCATTCTGGTGGGATCTGGCGCGATTTTCGTGGATATCATTGTTTATTTTGCCTTAGTATTGGTGAAGAAAGTGATCCAGAAGCATTTAATCACTGAAGATATGCACTTTGTTGTTGACTTGCTGTTTGGTTTGTTGAATTTAAGTATCACGGCATGGTTGGCGTACTTTGTGGACGGAAGACTGCGAATTTACTGGGCGAAAAAGAAATATGGCTTCAATAATTCATTCAGTTTAATAGATTGACATTAAAATGATTTTTATTCAGCTGAGGTCGAATCCTTCTTGTAATCAAGCCGTTAAATGGTTATCGACCTTTAATAAATTCATCTTATAGCACGCTTATTCATTTGCAAAATTGCGAATCTTTCTAGGTGGTCAGTAAAGGCATTTATAATAAAATTAAATAACTGCCCTTATATTCTCAAGTGATGATTCCTTTGTCTCGTAAACACCGGCTCGTCGATTTATCAAACCTGAAAAAAGGTCCTACGCCGATCGTCGAAAAATTGTTTCCGCATAGAAGCAATGCATAAAATAAACAAAAAATGACACGCAAATTCAAGTAACGACCATTGATTAGTTGAAACTCGTCAAGGAAAAAGGTTCTTTTGTATTATTACGCAGAAACCGATCATATTCAAAATATCACTCTACACTTTCGTTCATAGCGAATAAGATTTTATTAAACGAAAACTAGACGAGCGTATCCATCATATCTTCGTGAATTAAACGTTGCATTGTCAACTGGTAAGCCAAGTTTTGTCGGGAGAGGCATAATTTATCAATTCGAATATTTCCGGCCTAAGAGACGTTCAAGCCGAAAGCAGGTTTTCCATATTCGAATGAAGATCAAGTGAAAGCTACGTTTTTCATGGATAAGCATCTGCTTTAAACCATTTTCTGATAACGAAAATAATGGATTTTTAATTATTATAAACGGGGGCGGGTAGAAGACGCCAGAAAGAAATAAAGTTATAATTTTCATTAGCAAATGCAAATTGTTATGTTTGTTAATGGTGACACAGCGGCAAAATAATGAATGTGGATCTTTTATCACATTCACTAAGTAACAGGATCTGTGAATGAGCACAAATGAGGAGAATGAGCCTTGCTTTATAAAAAAAAGTTCAATGTTTATTTCTCATCTAACAATATTCACACTGGTCACAATGATGGTAAATTCCGACAGATTGTTAAGCAATTAGTTAAAACTATCACAAACTATAAATAAATGTATAACAATACGTTGAAAGAGCAATGTGTTGGCCGATTCCAGGACAATACGGGCCGGTTACTAACACCAGTTCTGACTCAAACCGCGGTTTTACGCAAGCAATGGGCCTTACGTATTCTCTATAAGATGGTTGTGTTCATTAATGTCCTTCCACTGCTAGCTTTAATTCGGCTCTCTCGGCAGTGTTCACAAAAATAAATGTTCCGATAAAAGATTCAGCTCAATTACAGATAGTTATGAGCACGGCTTTGTTTAATAACGGCTAAACTTTGTTTAAATAACTGGCCCTATGAGGTTTCAGTCAAAGCTCGCCTGACTAAAATGTTTTCAAAAGCAGTACATGATATCTAATTGGGGCTATTTCTGAATTATCAAAAAATAGTAAAAAAATAGCAAAAAAAATAATGAAAAATACATTCAGAGAACTCATCAGATATCAAAACCAGAACAGCGTAAACAAACAAGGATTATATCAGGAAAAGAAGTTATATATATTAATATGAAAATCATATAAAGCTTCACCAGGCGAAGCAATATTTCTCTCTACTCAAACACTTATAAAAATACAGATTGGAGTTTCCTGCAGGTCTTAACTCAAGCTTGTCTTGGAGCATTGCAGCCGAGTTGTACATTATGCAGTTGGCTGGGATTCAGCCTTAACAAGCCAACCGCCTGCTCGTCAATCTTTAGACCTTGTACACAGCCAGTGAATCCTTTATGAGACAAACCGCTGTGCGTCTGGTAACCAGAACCATCTGAAAACATAATGACGTGACTTCAGTTTAGCTTCCCTGTTAGGAGCCGGGTTGTTCCCAGGCTGCTCTCCTTTCCCTTCCCCATCACTCTAATAGGTTGGAAGGAGCAAAGTCTGGGAAACAAGGTTTATAGTCTCTCATTGGGTTGACGAAATTTCTGTTGAAAGATTTCCCAACTTTTCTGTTTCAAAAAGGGAATAAAAGATCAATCTTGTCAACACTGTTTTTTTTTACGGATGGAATACTTAAATATGGAATGTGCGTGGAAAGAAAATATGTACTAAATTAATCCCGAAATAATGTTCTTCAATATAACTACAAGGTTAATTGATCTTAAAGAAATTTTCACCCCAAAAAAATGACTGAAAACATCGAAAACAACTTCTGGAACACGCGAAGATAAACACTGTGCTACCATTTGATTTTACCTGGTACACCGCCGATGTGAAATTTTCCCTGGTTGAGTGTGAAGGCTGAGGGTACCACACCTTGTAGCGGTGCGTGATCATCCACCCTGAGTTCTACAATACCCTTATTCCGCGAAACTAGAACTCTATGAAACTTGTTATCACACAGATGGAAGGAAGCGTTATATTGTCCGTCTTTTGGGATCGATGGATCTGTCCATCGGATCACGGACGAGTTGTGCGCATTGTTGAAAATGAGAACAACCTGAAAATAAAAGCAAAGTTACGATTCAAAATGAAAATATCTTTATGACAGACAATGGTCAGGCAGACCGCAATCAAGGGGCGGGCCTGTCAGCGGCACTACTTGTAAAATGTTAATTATAAAGTGCGACATTTTCCGTACTTTTAAAAACCAGCCTGATTATTTACTTTCCCCCGTTTAGATTTAAGAGTGATAAACAAACCATATTGGTTATAACAAAGTTATTAAATGAAACTGATAATTTTGTAAATTTACCACAGATTTTCTTCAAGTGCTAAATTCTTTCAAACTATCTTTTTCAAAAACTCTTGCGTGCGTCTCCGCTAGTGTACCGCCTGGAACAGGTTACACAGGATGTTGATTACATGACTTCGTGTCTCACCTGTCCTTCAAGTTGCTCCAAAGTAACGGATCCAGGACCCGAGCTGTTGGTAATGGACAAAAGGAGTCCGGAGCGAGTGGTGGTTCGGAAGATAATACCAATGTTTGTCTCCTCAGGTAATGAGTAGTTTGAGTCTAAAAAAAGAAAGGAAACTGTCAGACATTGTAAGAGCAGAATAAATCTTGGTGGTCCAATTTTTTTCCTTACCGTATACAATATGACCATCACCAGAGAAACCAACTTGTGCTTGTATCTCGCTGTAGCAGGCTTTGAAGGTGTAGTTAGAATCCCTTTCGTCTCTATCAGTCCTTCAAGAAACAAAAAGGGAAACAACACAATTAGTGCTAACCTGCTGTCAAAGTTTAACGGATGAATTTGTTCAGTTTGGGAAACAGAATCCTAAAGTAAATACTTGCAGAACAAGGACAGAACATAGAATCAACTAAATAAAGAAAAAAAAAACAAGGAGAAAAGTTCGGTATTGTAATCAGTTAGCTAAAAAAAACAAAGCTTATGACGAAATCCAGCGTTAAGTGTATCTAAAAATACATCTGTTTGACTTTTGTCACTGACAGATTACGTTAAGTGTTTGTCCATACCGAGGATTGAAGGTTTTGGATTCGAAGTTTCCGTCTTGAATTTCAAGAGGTCCCATGCATCCAAGGAAACCGACGCCATGACACTAGCATGATGTAGAGAAAGAGAGAGACAGATAAAATATCGGTAGATTTTTAGCTGTTGGTTGAATAAATTTCACTAATTTGCAGCTGGCTGCAAGGAGAAAGGGACCAAACAACAATAAATAGTAAAATTTACAATCATCCTATTTCTCCAAGCTGACTGATTTAAAAACACACGCTCATAAGCAACCCTTCGGAATTTTCCGTAAAATAATTATGACGTCATTATCGTTATTTCAAATGAGACAATTCAAAATCGACATCAAGTGAAAAGTATGGTTTTTACCTCTAAATGCGTAAGGTTAATTCCCCGTGGGACCCCTCCGTAGTAGAACGGAGTGTTAATCTCCAGAGGAACTTTGTCATCTCCTTGACGTTGATTTCCATAATCTTTGTTTGAAACAACCAGCATAGCGCCAAACTGATTAATCCTTAGGAGACGAACCTGAGTTCAAGAAAAACAATGTTAAGTACACAAAACTTAAAACCCCCGTCCCTACCCCGCCAAGGTAAAACAGTATTAACGGAGACCTAATGATCCTCTCGACCACCTATGAGATTTTCAATTTAAGATTCTTAGGAATGACTAGTTCAAATACATAAGTAAATTCCACCAGAACATGTCTTAAAACGGGTTCGTTTCTACAGATACTTGGTGAAGAAGTTGCATAAACATGATGGAGATTCACATGGGCCAAGACTGAGAGAGTGAATGACATTTTACGTTCATAGAAACTCCTCCTTAAGTCATTTTAAGTTGCGATTTATGATCGAGTCTCCCGTAAGGGCCATAATCGATTACCTCTTATCTACCACGCCAGCGTTCAATAGAGATAAGCTCTGTGGGTTTGAATGAGTTTATGTCTTCTTATTGGAGAAGTTCACCTATGCGAAGAGTTTCTGAGCGAAAGTTTAAGAGTATATTCTGTTTCCTGAGCATTACTGCAGACATATCAAGTAAGATCATGGGAACATAGTCTGTGTAACTTCTTTGTTAAGCTAGTTAATCTAACGACACGAAAGAGTGTTTTTTTTTTTTACCGTGTAGAAATAACCACCATCAGAGTAGTTGTTAAATGTGCTTAGAACTTTGACTGTTTTGAAGCCTGCGTTGTATTTGAAAACCAAGCGGCCATTCACCAGCTCCAAACTGATAAAGTGAGTCGGCATCTGCAGGTCATTGGCAGCATAAAGTAGCACTCCGTTTGGAACAAGGGAACGGAATTTCACACTGATCACGAAACTGAAAAAACCCCACAATTTCATATAATCAAGCTGTAAACAATCATATTTAATACAACTTTCTAGGATCTCTGCACAGCAAACTAAGGCACCCTTTGATTGACTACTCTAATTTTGGGCTAACCGAGAGGCGGTTGACAAAGTTAGCAAGTTCTCAGTGACTAGCGCTTTGCCCTCCCCCCCCCCCCCCCCCCCCCCCCCCCCATTTGTCACCACCTGCTTGTTTTCCGTGCCCGTTGTGGCATGATATTCTTTCCTGCAATTGCCGCAAGTCGGATTTCCTTCCCGCCCTTTCTGCAGGTTTGATTTTTTGCACGCCGGCGCTGGTCGCAAATCTGTCAATCATCGTGCTTCCTAAACGCTCGCAACGACGTGTCGGTCACAACTAGTTTGGATGACTACTCATCCTTACTTCAACTCCCAATCAGTTTCTTGGACTGTTTTCGAGCGATGCAATTTTTCTGTGGATTAAAGGCATATCAGAGGAGAATAAATCACTCACCGGGTTCTTGTAAAGTTTAGCACTTCTGCACTTGCATGGAAGGCCATATAATCAGAACCATCCAAGCGAGCCTCATCTTCACGAGAGGAATTCCGCAGGGGAGGGTATGAGCGACCACAAGTGGGTGGTGGCTTGGTGGGGGGTGGGGTGGTGGGAAGTGCTGTAGGTATAACGTTCAGTTCAGGTGAAACTCCCGCCAGTGACACTCCGAGGCTTCTTCCTGAGAAGATGTTTACATCTCTGACGAAAAAAGAAACAAACACAATTAGGTTGAAGAAAAAAAAACAAAAAACAGCGACAAAAATCTTGCAGCAAATGAGAAATAGAAAGAGGAAAGCGAATGGCCAGGGTTCCTTTTCATGTTACTTACTTTCCGTTCACTTTTAAGATCCTCATGTCGCCTTTGAACGCGTTGATAACAGGGAATTCCCTGGGTATATTTGTCCTGTCATCCACTCCCCCGATCCACAAACTCCCGTTAAGACTAACGTACCCTTTAGCAAAGACCTCTGAGAGGGAGTTACCATCAAGATATACGTTGCTCCTAGAAAAACACGAAAACGTTTTACAAAACCAAACTGATCAACTACGTCACTTTGTGTGACTTAGGTATGTCGACGTTTAGGCAGAGCATAAATAGACCGCACACGCAATTTGTCATGGTCGGCATATTCCATTTTAATCGGCATCTGTTAAAAATCCCAGTTCTTTCTAGTCTTCTTGGTTATAAAATTACCTCCTTAGTTTTTGCTGCTTTAGGAAAGTACCTTGTCATTAGTATTTATTCACCATAATTCAAGGCTGCTCCAAGAAAAAAAATTTTCCTTTCATGTATTCCAATTACAATTTTTCCACACTTTTACAAACTAGTTTTTATTTTCACATTCGAAATGCAGTAATGACGCCACGCTAACGCACATTCAAGTTGATAGGATGCGTTCTCACAGATCGATTTAAAAGTGTCAATTTGGAATCAGTTTCCATAATTCTCAGCTGTGATTGCAACAAGCCATAAATATTCTTTCAGCACTTCCCACACAGACGCCCTCCCCTTTCAGTGAAGACTTGTTAGCTGGTCTGCTGCTATCAGCACTCAGGTAGAAGGTCTACATTTTATTCAACCAACCCCTTGTGAAACGAATTCTCAGCTATCCCTAGGCAACGAAAATATTCGACAATATTCAGTCAGTTGACTTACCCAGCTGGTCCAAATTCAATTTTCACAGTATGATAGGCACCATCATTAAGTGTCTCGTCCTTGCTTACGGTGGAAACTATTTTTTCCAAATCTGTAACGTGCACTAAATAAATATTGCCATGGAAAAGAGCCAAATAGAACCACGGACCCTACAATAATAGAAAGCACACTTTAATCAAATAATTTAGACAATATTTTGCACGTTTGGTTCATTTGCCCAGAATGTATCTTGTCCAGGTAGACGAAATTAGTTTCTAGGATGCAAAGATAGTCAAGCGAATGTGGAGAGAGGTGCTCCAACCAAAAGGATGAACTCCGTATACATTGCTGATAAATAGCTAGGGGCGGAACCCTTTTTTGGCAAAGTACCACTTTCTATCTCCCCTTGCAAATTTGAACCTGGTGCTAAAACACAAACATTGATGAGTAAAGCCAAAGAAAGGTTGGCTAAAGTCGTTCCATCAAAAGTAAATTTTAATCTTATCAAAACGAAAATCGTCCATTCTTTCACTAATCTCTGCTAGTCAAGTTTTCATATCGTGTAAATCCGTTATAATAACCCAACGTTACCTCTCCACCCGCGCTATAAACAAGAACACCACTGGGGGAGAGTGTTTTGAAGGAGATCTCCAGCGACTTCATTTGTGCTTCGCCGGTTTCTACAGCAGCGTAACTGTTACCAAGGAAACGAATGCCTTCCTCCACCTTAAAAAAAGAAGGAAAATTAGATTAGATTATGCATAATACACAAAGAGGAAGACACTTCCTTCAAAACTGCTTCTTCCTCTCATTCAGCAGGATCTGTAGTGAAGTATCTGTTGTAGGCTTCACTTTGAAAACTCAGAAAACCATTAATTTCATAATCATTTCTCGAATATGATGGTAAAGAGGAAACGCGCCAAACAGGCAGGAAATCTTGTTAGTTTGTGGTTTATGCTCTTTTCTTATGTTCTGAAACAGTTGGTTATAACAAAAGAAACATTCCAGGTGTTCATTCCCGACTCATTAAAGGTGTTATTAGGATTCTTATTTTGACCCTTCGGCAGTCTCGTCCACTTAGTAACTAAATGCTTGAGGAAACAATCAACTAACCTTGTTATGGAAGATGAAAAGTCACAAAATATCTTTCAAGTTTACATTACAGTTTATTTAAAAGCGACTGTGACATTGGTTGACTTGATCGCTCGGGTAGTGATTTACGCTTTTCAGATCAAACTCAATGCGTGACCTCAAAGTTGTAACTCCAAATCTTTTTTCATGACCCGTTGGTTTAAAGGCGTGACGATCTTAACTGAAACTTATTCAAATAATAACCTAAACGTTTTTCAAATAATTATTGAACGAACATTGCTGTGATAATTATGTAAGAGTCAAAGTCTTCCTAGTAAGAGAGTAGACTTCACTTACCACAGGAAGGAGCCCCTTAAAGCTCACTCCCTCCAATGACAGATTCATATTGGCGTTGTTGAGTGGTCGGGTCATCAGGGACCCAGAAAGAGGGCTACTGATGTTGACATACCGTAGAGCCCCAGCAAATGGAGAACCCACAGGAGCACTGATTGCGCTACAAAGATTAGAAGGATATCTTGTGAATGTAAGGAATTTTTAAAAATCTTATGAAGGACATTATATAAGGATAGAAAATGAAGGTGATCGCGTCTAACGTGAAACTGATGCGTGTAAACGAGTTCTTGGCTTAACAAGCATTTTTCCAACAACTGAAAAAAAAATGCGTCATGGCAGCCTGACGGAATATTGGAATGAAAACCAGGAAATTGATTTACTTCCATTTAAGGCAACAAGTATTATTGTAGAGAATGTAAAGATAATTTGCTCTTGTTGCATGTTCCGACAATGGAGTTTTCGTAAAATATCTATGGATGCAAAGAAGCTGACCTGTTTGGATCTTTACCACCAAATAACAGAGCCTGTCCATCCGCAAGATACTCAGTGGTCTTTGTCATTATTGTCACGTGATCAACTGCTCCACTGTCAGACGGACCAACAGGTCTCACGGCCAGACTGGTATTTCTGAGACCGCGCACCACATGCACCTTGTACCAGCGGCCATCGCTGTAAGAGTTGCTATTACTGTGTACAGTGTACGTGCGGTTGTATGTTTTAAAGAAAAACACTACTCTGCTGTCGTTTAAGTACACTCCGTATGCGTAATTCTGCAAAAACACACACACACAAAAGGTCAGTGAAAGCGATTCACAGGCTTGAGA